GGTGCGGATGCTGGGAGTGGATGTCAGCTGGAGGATGGCAAGATGCCATGGAGCTTGACCAAGAGGGGCATGTTATTGGATGAGAGCAGCGCGGCTGGCCCTCCACTCCACATTTCATCCTCGCTTCTCGTGCGGGAGGGGCCAAAATGCAACTCTTGACTGCCTACGCGCGCGTTACGCAAGAAGAAAAAGCTCTCAAAACTCGTGACTCTGCGGCGTCAGAGGCTACTAAAGGTGCAAGGACTCTTGACTGACACCATTAAGATTTTCTAGTCTCACTCTTTCTCCGCGCCCATCCCGAACGGCGTCCAGCATGAGCAACGATTCTTGCTGCGCCTCCCTCACATGATCTATTACCTGCCGCGAGCTGAGATAACAGGGGAAGAACAAAGTTCGACCTCCTCTTCGCCAGCTCATGAGAGGCCGACTTTGTCTTGCACGAGTAGCAGCACGCGGTAGTCTTGCTCATCGCTCGCCCGTCCACCACAGCCTTGCATGTGAGCAAGTTGTGACCTGCGCAGGACCTCTCGCCTATCGCTCTTCAACTAAGCCACCCCTCAGCTTTGCTGGCGCGCTGCTCACACGCCCCTTCTCTAGTTTGGCTCAGGCAGACGTGGCCCGTGAACGCCCCTCCAAATCGGCAGTCATGCTGTCAACGCTCAGAATCGTCTTCCCGCCCAGCTCGGACAATCAGACTCTGCTGCCTTTCGTCACATTGCTGGTAGATGGGCAAAGGTACATCTTCAATGTGCCCGAAGGAAGTACGCGGATTGGTTTGCAGAGGGGAGCAAGGATTGCGAGGACGGAGCACGTGTTTGTGAACAGCGTTGGCACTGAGAATGCTGGTCTTGCGGGTGAGTTGGCAAGATGTCCTCGCTGGTCGAGCGGCCTCGAATCCGCATTCGAGATCCGTCGATGACTCATTGGCTGCTTTTCCCGCCTTTCTCTGCACCCATGCGTCTACGCCAGGCATGATCATGAGTCTTGCAGACTCTGGCATATCTCATTTGACCCTGCACGGTCCCAGTGCGCTATCGCATCTGGTCTGCACATTCCGCACATATGCTCGACGTGAGTCGCTGCTGCTCCGCATCAATGATGGCAGTCCCAACAAGAGCGAAGCGGAAGAGGCGAGTGGGAGCGGTAATCACGGCAAGTCGAGGGATCCGAGAGCAGTGAATATCGTTTCGAAAGACGACAAGTTGGCGCCGCCTCCTTTCTTCAAAGATCAATGGGTCACGGTACATGGCGTCGCTCTCCGCCATGCGGAAGCCATGCCTGTCTACGAGGAAAGAAGTGAGCATGCAAACAGCGAATCAGGCCGGAGAGGGGCGCCCCAGGACGGACCGGCGAGTAAGCGCAGAAGGACAGACTCCCACTGGCAAGGCAATGAGCCTGAGCAAGAGACTTCCAAGTGGATTGCCCAGAACCTGTTTCCTGGCACAAAGCTGCTTAAGGCCGGTGGCGTGGTCCGAAGGCCGCCTTTCAAGCCTCTGCCTCGCCTCGCCGAGAAAGACTTGGGCGTGAGACATGCTCAAGAAGCTTCGCCTTCAACTGTCATGTGTTGGATCGTAGAGCATCCAGCGCAGCGTGGCAAGTTTAAGGCCGACGCAGCCGAAGAGCTCGGGTTACCAGACGGACCGACTCGCAGCAAGCTGCTCAAAGAAGGCAGCGTGACCTTTCAAAGACCTACCAAATGGCCTGATATGGATGCAAACGCCAGGAAGAAGTGGGTTTTCAGACACAAGAATCTGCACGATGCGATGAGCAGAGCATCAAAAATCTTCAAGGGCAGAAAGAACAAGCAGTCTAAAGAAAGTCAGGCGGCTAAGGAGGCTAGCGAGGAGATGGACGCTTGGGAAACGGAGACAATCACCATACAGTCTTCTCAAGTAGTGGGCGAAACCAGAAAGGGTTCTGTGAGTGATGTCCAGTCGTTTTGTCGTGGCAGTCTGGATGGCTCTTGCTGCTAGCCCATACTCATATTACGCGCTTCATCTCTCCGTCTTTTGCGCAGAGCTTTGTGCAAATCTACTGCCCTTCGCTAGCATTCCTACCCTCTCTCCTTTCGCCAGACTCCCAGGCAAAGTTTGAACGGTATTTCTACCGCGTGCAAGAAAGCTCACAAGACACTGACAGACTCGTGTCTCCTCCACACGTCGTCATTCACGCCGTACCCGACGCTGTGCTGACAGATCCACGCTACCAGGGATTTGTGGCGCAGTTCGGCCCCGGGGTGAACCATATCATCTCCAACGGACAATACGCCACCGACACGCACGCGTTCTCGTCCTCTGCTCTGTCCCAGCTCAGGCTCTCCCGACTTGATGAAAAGACTTTCAAGCCGACTCCCTACGCTGTCGCTCCTACGCAGCACGTCGCCTCCGATTTGAAGCATAAGTTGCTGGGCAGCAGCGCTTCGACAGACCACGTCAAGGGTAGCGTCCGAGCTCTCGATCAAGACACTCAAATCACGATTCAGCCTGTTGGCCCTTTCTCCGAGTTCCCCTCTCCCGCACCTGCCATTCACGCACCCCTGCAGCACCAAGAGACCCTTGACTTGATCTCCTTCAAGAGGCAACCAAAGCATGCGCGGGAGTTGGGCAATGATGTGCGAGCCAAGCTCAAAGGCATGTGGCACAGGTTTGGAAAGCTGTCAGATGAGATTCAAAAGGCAATCAAGGTGGAAGAGGAAGCACGAAGGCAAAGTGGAGAGAAAGAGAGCGAGTTGATTCTGACTTCTCTGGGTACGGGCAGTGCCGCGCCCTCGAAGTACAGAAATGTCACTGCCACGCTAGTCCACATTCCTCGCAAAGACGACGGGGGAGAATTGAGTGTAAAGCATCATTACGTGCTCTTGGACTGCGGTGAAGCTACTCTAGGACAGCTTTGCAGGCGATTCGGGAGGACCGGCTGGGCTTCTTTGAGCGGCGATAACGCTCGCTACGAAGGACTTAGCGACGAACTTGGCTCAGACGATCCAGATGGCGGAGTAGAGGAAATATTGCAAAACCTCAAGTTGGTGTTCTTGAGCCACAGTCACGGAGACCATCACATGGGCATTGCGAGACTTTTGGTCGAGAGAGCGAAAGTGAGTACGATGCTTCCGTAAGCCTGGGAATGCACTCGAAGCAACGTTAGCTCAAGTGACTTGCATCGCGCTTCTGCCCGTCAGCTCCACCCAACCACACCCTTGTATATCATTTGCAATCGTTTCATCTCTCAGTACCTCATCGAGCTGGACGCCATCACTCCACTAGGACTGGCTCCTCCCGGCATCCCGCCTTCAGCCGCACAACGACAAGGAGGCGTCATTTTCCTAGACGCTGAGTCTTTCGACTTTGAAAATGGAGTCGATGTAGCTGTCGACCTTGCTCAAGCACAAGCCTCGAGCACGGATCTGCTCGCTTGTGAGCGCAGAGCGCAGGACGAGCTCTTGAGAAGTAGCCTTGCCAAGCAAGCTACAGACAGAGCTGCTGAACATGCGGCAAAGGGAGAACGAAAAGACCCCAAATTTTCTAGCGATCCTCAGGAAGTCCTCGCTAAAATGTTCAGAAGTCGAATGCAAGGTAGACACCACGCGAGATCACACTTGGCATTCTTGAAGCGATCGCTAGGCTTTGCGGAAAGCGGCAGAATACATACAGTGGAGGTCGATCACCGTGTTGCGCACTGCACCGGCATCGTCTTGCGGTCAGCTACTGACAGCAGTCGCGATCACGCAGCGGAGACGGTATCTGACACTTCCGATCCGTGGAGCTTGGCCTACTCCGGTGACACTCGCCCGTGCCCAGCGCTGGCGAGAGCAGGCAAAGGAGTCGAGGTGCTCATCCATGAAGCATCGCTAGACGACAGTCAGCCTGAGATGGCTTGGCAAAAAGGTCACTCTACCTTCGGACAGGCCATAGCTGTGGGCAAGGCCATGCACGCCAAGCGGATCTATTTGACGCACTTTAGCCAGAGATATCCCAAACTGCCCAAGATCAGCACTGCGAATCACTACAACACCGCTTCTGTAGAGGGACTGCAGGAGCCTTTGGGAGAGGTCTCGGAGGCTGAGCCCATCGCAGACAACAGTACGGCCACGGAAGCTGCCGTGCCCATCGCCATCGCTTTCGATCTCGTCTCGGTGCCACTGAAGGAGATGTGGAAGTACTCGCATTACATACCCGCTTTGGAGTTGCTGTTCAACGCGGTCAAGGACGAAGATGCGCCGGAAGAAGGGGCGGAAGAAGCAAACACCTTGGACGGCGGTGCGGATCCGGCTCCCAATGGCGACCGTGCCGGATCGTCTGCGAACGTAGCGCTACAATTCTCTCAGAAGATGCTCGAGGAGCTGGCGGATGTTGCCATGAATGGGCCCGCTCCTCGGAAGGCGTTGGGCACGGAAAAGACGACAAGCAAAGCTGCGGTAGAGGAAGAGAAGAAGCAGGGCCGATCAGGTGCTTCTACTAGCAGCTCCAACGTCGAACAGGCCGATAGCGTTCAAGAGGCTTTGACAGAGAGCAAGGAGACCGCTGAAAATCAAGCGCAGGCGAAGGAGGCGGAGATGAAGATTCCATCGAGTGAGTCAGCGATGAAGACTGACTGATGTCAACTATACTAGGACAAATGAGGCACTGTCCGAGGAATTGATATGCTTTTGACTCGACGGATAGTTGACCGCCTGCCTCCTGTGTGCGGTCTGTTGCAGGTAGCCAGGAAGTAAGAGATGCTAACAGAGAGAGTGTGTCTGGTCAATTTCATCGGCATGAGAGACGCAATGTCAAAGGCGGAGAGTACGCTTACGTCATTCTGAAGCTGTGCGTCGCAAAAGATGACCGCCTTGACACGCTCGAGTCGTTTGAGCTCACTTGCCCTTTATCATTCGATATTTTTCAGCTCACCGATTAGCAGACAATCACGCTTGAA